TAAACGATCGATGTATTTTTAAGAATTGGGACACATCTATATTACATCTTATAAGAAGCAAAAAAGTGGGAAGACAATATTTTATGCTTATTTACTTTAGCTCTGCTTAAATTACGTAGTATTTTTTCGTTTATCACGTTTCTTCTCTAAATAAATCATTTCCCGGACTACAAACACACAACTCTCGGTGCGAAATATATCATTACTTGTTTTTCTCCCTTGTTCGTTACTCCATTTAATCATGCAAGTCGTGCTAAATAATTTAAATCATAACTCACGGCGCGTTCGTAAACTTGGATAGCAATACCGAGCGCCTCTGAAAATAGATGCTTGCGCATCTACGAATAAAAAGGATACACATAGCCCGTTGTAATGAACGCCAGGAACTCCGAAGGAGTTTAAGTTAAGGGCGCTGCGGAACGCTGCAGTACGTCTTGCGACACGCTCGGGTACAAGTCCGCTCATTTTCTTACGGCGTATCGTTAATCTCCGCCGCCCCCTTCATTGTGTCTCACACGCGTGTGGGCCCCCGTTTATTTCCACTAATCAATTATCGGTGCCGCTCGATCACGCGGCCGATTCTTAATCGCCCGCCACGATCTTCCCCCGTGCCGGCTAGCTGCGTTACGGATTTTAGAAAGCGGACGATCTGGATTCCACCGCGCGATCGCGCTCACAGGTGGCTGGATAATTATGGTCGAACGACGCTGCGCCGGTATACGCGGAGCACGTTGATTCGAGGAAAAATCGTGTGCATGCAGAGCGCGGTGTATGTGTGCATGTCAGGGGGGGACTTGCAGCGAGAAGCCGTTAATAAGACTGGTGCAAGATTTCCCACGTTGCAAGCCATGTGAGCCTCGATTGCTCACGAAAAATCACGACGAAAGCTTACCATCTGACTAGACAAATGGGATAGACTGTAATGACGGATAGATCGGTATCCTATTTGCATTTACCTTTAGAGGATATTGCCTTCTGTCGGAAAACAGTAGAATCACACACACATTGCGTCAAGTGCGTCAGATCGAATTCTGAGAATCGATTAAATGGGCAATGTATATCGGTAAATATTGTATTATCCGTCGGCCATTTTTGATGATTGAGACAAATTGTTCGTTGGACGAAGTGTATACGAGCAATTTATCAATTAGATTTCATTTGATAACAAGCACAACGATGCGATACTACAATAAGATCTTTGATGATAGGTTGCATCAGTGTTCTCTGTATAATTCTATGTATAATTATAATAGAATTAAATAATATGGTCCCTTTGGAGAGAGAGAGACAGAGAGAGAAAAAGCTATATTTCGCGGGCTAACAATGAAGCGTAATTAGCAGAATATGTCGACGTATTCTTGCGCACACAGTAATCGAATAAGTATCATCCGTTAGGGAATCATGATATATATCGTGCAGATCGATACGTATCTCGCAAATTAATCGGAGGCTCTTTGATCATTCGCCTATTCTGCTCTGACGCACACGCGATCATACAATTAATTATTGACCCGTTTTAATCCCGTTAGGTCTAATTAGAGAGGATGGTGTCTCGTCTCAAAGTTGTTAATTGAGTTGGTTAATGCGATAAAGGAGTTCGTAGTGTTCTCATTCGCTCTCCCCTTTTAACATCCATCCATTGTCTCTGTCCTCTTCTGCTTCTCTGTTTCGCTTTATTTCTTTTCACTGCGGAATTCCTACGGATACCTGCAGACAGTGATTATTTCCACTACTTCAATTATTTGAGTTATTCCCATCAACGAGCTTTCCAGCACCCGATAAAAGTATCAGGGAATCGTATATGCCGATGCTGTAATATTCACGAGACCTCAGAATAAATGTGCCCGTTGAAATTTCGCCAAGACAAACGTTTCTCATATGAGAACATGTTACAAATTGAAAGAAGTTTATTTATATCTTTTACTCTAAAAATTTAGACCGATAAATCCTTCATTAGTGAACGTTACCGCCTCGAATTATAACACACAAATATGATACAATAATAAAATATTACAATGGGATGTTCTCGATCGCTCGCAATTGAGCCTTCCTTTATTTTGTATCGTATAATAAGGATCGTTTATTCAATCGCATAATTATTATTAAAAAGTGCTTTTGTATAACTGCGGGATTATTGGTAAAAATATTTCTCTCTTACGCGCCGCGGGAACTGCCCTTCGAGAGATGAATCTCAATGCATTCGATTGATTAAGTCATGCTTTTGTCGAGATAAAATGCTCGACCAGCATAGATTTTTTTTTATTGCGAAGCGGCTATCGATATTTAATGAAATATAGTTCTCCAATTACGAAATTGCATTGTACGATTACATTTATTCTCTGAGAAAAAGAAATTGACTTAAAGTTTATTACTTTTTAAAATTATTTCTCAATGAAAAGTCAAATACCAATTTTATTATTATTATTATATATATATATATATATATATATATATATATATAAGGCTCTTAATTTAATTTATTAACATTTTTCTCCAGTTATATCGTTTCCATGCGATATACGCGCAACTTGCTCTTCCATCTCCAGAACCATTTACTCGATACGTTCTGTTGCATGCAGTCCAATAAATCGAGACGCCGCACCTCGCTGCACCGCGTGCACAGACGTTAAGTCGATACTAGCCAATAATAAATGTCTCTGCACATGGCAGCGTCGAACCTCCGCTGCCGTGGGTTTTCACGTTAAATTCGGGGCATCGATAATCGAAGTTGGAACGGTTCTTCGCCGAGGTCGCGGCATTGTACATCTCCGCGCTCGCGGTGCAGCGTGTGTGATATATATATATATATATATACATATGTGT